GCAGCACGCAACTGCTTCACCCGCTCGTCGACAGTAGACATGTTCGCTGCAAAAACAAAGAAATAAGTTAGCGACGATCAAAAACCCCGACCACGAGGAAAAACGAACATCCCTACCTAGATAATCCAGAGCGGCCGCCCCGGTCGCGCAGCCGAGCAAAGTCTTAGTATTTATCAAACGCTTTTTGGTGCGTATGTTCCCCTGGGCATCGAGGATGTACCGACCGTCGGGCGTCACCAGCTTCGACGGGGGAAGCGACCGCACAAAGGCAATTATTTTCAAATAAGCGGCCATGTCCTTCTCCTCGAGGGTTCCCGCCCGGACGATATACCTATCCGTCCCTCGACTAAAATGCTCCGAGGTCCGCAGTAGATGTATCTTAGGAAGCCACGCACGGAACCGCTGGCCATCTACCGTGCGCTCTCCCTCGTCAAAGAGAGTGTCCGAGCCATGCTGCGTGATCGGTTTGACGAGGTAGAACCGACCTTTGAAGTCTTTGACAGAATCGCTATACGCTTTGAAAATTTTGGTCGATTGTTTGAAAGACACCCATCCGTGACGACCTCGCACCGTCTGCCGCTGCAAATGAAAGATGCGGAAGAATAACGGCACCGTCGGCTCCACCGAAAGGTAGAAACACACCACCTCGAAAGCCCGGATGAAGGCCAAAGCATTTGGGTGCAGCTGAGACGGGGCAAGACGCAGCCAGTCAAAAAGCCCCAGATGGAAGGCGGAAAACGGTAACCGGAGCCGAGCTTCTTTAAAATAAAATTCATACATCGGGAACATCTTCCGCCCATATCGCGAACAGATCCGGTGGTGCTCTTTCGGGCGGTACACCTGCCAGTGTTGCATCTCTCCTATCGGCGTATCCTCGACCGTGGCGTACACGTCGGACGGGTCGACCACAAAGCAAGAGGGGATGGAAAGTGGCTCCTCGGCCGCCCACTCCTCGGGCGAGGCGATACGCTCGTCGTCATACTCCGGGACCTCGGGTTCATTATCTTCAACCATTATCCCCGGCACCAGAGCCGACATCTACACCTGAAAGCAGAGGACATCGGTGAATTCGATAGCCAGGATCAAATCCACCCTTCCACCGCAAGTCAAGTGAAAGGGCGACAAAGGCCGAAGAGCGACGAGCAAACATTCGCTCCCCGTCTACCCTCCTCGGGGATCGAAGAACGACCCCTCAGCCCCTTCGGGACGGCCGTCGGAGAAGATACTTCTCCCCGGAGCATTCATCAGAAAAAGCCCCCGTCCTCGGGGCATTCATCGGAGAAAAGCCCCCGTCCTCGGGGCATTCATCAGAAAAAGCTCATGTCCTCGGGGCATTCATCGGAACTAGCCTACCGTCCCCGGGACATTCATCGGAAGACTCGCCAGACGCGGCGGAATTCGCGTCCCTCCTCGGGGCGTTCATCCCGCCCCGACCACACGTTCCAGTTAGACGACGGAAATAAAAAGAGAGGGAAAAGAGGAACTCACTTGTAACGGCGGCGGACGGGAGAAAAGAGCAAACGGCACGGCGGCGATCGACGGCAGGCGGCGGACGAGCAGAGACGATAAAAGATTAGCAGGGAGAAAAGTAACAGAATGAACGAGGACCGCCATATTTATAACCCGGCGCGGGACTCGAAGCGACTCTAGGCTCATTAATGACATAGGCTAGCCGCCCCTACGACCGCTTAACACAAGACACGTGGAGGCAACCTGACAATCGCGTCCCCTCACCTGCCTCTTCCCCGTTCTACCGACGACCGGAGCCCTTCGTGCGAGTCCCCGCTCCAGACACGACGACCTTAAGTCCTCGCTCTTCTCCAGAGCTTCGACTTGGGGGGCTCCTGTTCCGGTATGGGCCTCACCTCGGCAGGCCCAATACCAAAGGCGGCCCAGCAAGCGAACTGGGCACCCCCGGCACGCGCCCCTTCGGACGAGCAGGGCTGGGCAGACGGGCTCAAGCTACCGCTCCACGTCCCTTTTTGGCGTCCATCACGCCGGACGAGCAAGACCACCCCGGGCTCCCTCCGCGGGAGAATAACGTGCTCGGCGCACGTTCTCCACGTGCTCCCCTCCGCGGGGACACGTCATCGGCCAACCGCCCACCTCCGAAAGAGCAGGTCAAACCCACTTTCCGGAGACCTAGGAGCGGTTGAACTAGGGCGAAGACCACGTCCTGGTCTTCACTACGCCACGTAAGCCCTAGCAGTCATTCGGGTTGGGCCTGGTCGTCTGGCCCACCTCGAATGACCGTTGGCCCAGCGCTGGGGTCTCTCTATAAATACCCTCTTCTTCAAGAGGGTCAGGTAACTCTTCTTGCCCCCTTTTCTGTACTATTGCTTCCTCTCTGTCCAACTTCTTACTTGGGCGTCGGAGTGCTTTGCAGGTACACCCCCCTCCTCGTTCTCACCCCGGCGAACAGATAATAGCCCAACGGTGTGTGGCCAGTCCGTGATTCCTCCTGATCAGGTCAGATCACTAATTGTTTGTATGATATAAATAGAGAGGGTTGAGTGGAAAGAAATTTGAGAAATAAACATGTTAAATATTTTAATTTAATTATTATTTAATTAATAATAATAATATTTAATTATTAATAATAAAATATTAATTAATAGAATGAAGAGAAAATTTATGCTCGGTAGTTACTATGGTAAATATATTATTGGTTGGTGACTGCATTTTTAAAAAAATTCAGGACGTGTCTTATTGTATTTGTTAATTAATAATTATTTAAAATTTAAAAATGTGACTTAGTCGGAAGTTTTAAATAATAGAGTTAATAATAAATATATTTATATTTAATTAATTAATTAAAGAAAAAAAATTTAGCAGAAAATCTTTGATGAAAATATTATAAAATTATATAATAAATATAGATAATATGCCATGTTTGCTGAGAATATTAATAAAGTAGTTTTTAAAACTAGATTTATTTATTAAATTCTGAATCAAATAATTAAATCAAAAAATTTTTACTGAGGATATTTTGGTAAAAAAATATATCATGTAGGAGTAGGGGAATAAATGATTGGGTATAGGGTAAAAATTTCTTATATTTATACTTAATGCCCTAGTAAAACACGGAAATACCCCTACAATTAAAGGCCCAAAATATAGAATAGACAGTTAAAGGCCCAAATATATATTATTTTTATATTTTTACTTAGGAAATTTTACCCCATACCCCTACAATTATACCCATACCCCTACATAAAAAATTTTGGACCAAAATACCCTCGTATAAAAATTTATAATTTTTTCATTTGTTCACCGGAAAACTTTTTGCAAGTTTTTCGGTTCATATTTTTTCTTTTGTTCACCGGAAGACTTTTTGGAAGTCTTTCGGTTTATGTTTTTTTTTTAATTTTTAAAATTTAAAATAAATTATTGACATTATGTGTCATTTTTCTCTCTCCCATTCATCTTTTATTTTATATTAAAAATTCATTATTGAACATCAATTCATTTTTTTCTTGCTCAATAAATTCAGATTTTTGCCTTAAATATATAGTTTTCATATACTGATAATTTAAATTAGAATAAAAGTATTATTAATAAAATAGTTGAGACAAGTGAATAAAAAACAAATAGATCATAACCTTTTTCATTATTTGCTTGTTTGGGCTATATTATTATTATTATCAATATTATTAAGTTTTTTATTATTGTAATTATTATATATATATATATATATATATATATATATATATATATATATATATATATATATATATATATATATATATATATATATATATATATATATATATATATATATATATATATATATATATAATAGTTATTTTTATGTAATAAAATAAGAATGAATATGAACTATTAAATTTTAAAATAAATTATTAACATTATGTGTTTGTTTTTTCCTCCATCATTTATTTTATATTAAAAATTTATTATTGGACATCAATTCATTTTTTTTTTTCTGTTCAATGAATTCAGATTTTTTTCTTAAATATATAGTTTTTAAATACTGATAATTTAAAGAATGATTAATATATGTTTCGGTCAATGTTTGAATCCAAAAACTTAAAATGATTATTTGATATTAGATTAAATAAAATTAAATGACTAAGAATTATAATTGTATATTATATATTCTACTTTTGATTTGAATTCATGAATAAAATTAAAAAAGCAACGTTAAGATGATTAAAAATATTATAATATTTGACAATATTATATAAATGTTAATTTTAATTTTTAATAAATTATATGATAGGATAGTAAATAAAAAAAATTATAATTGACAATATTAAAAATTAAAAAAAAAACATAAACCGGAAGACTTCCAAAAAGTTTGGAAGTCTTACGGTGAACAAAAAAAATATGAACCTAAGACGTGCAAAAAGTTTTCCGATGAACAAAAAAAATGTGAACCGAAAGTCTTCCAAAAAATCTTCCGGTGAACAAAAGAAAAAAATATGAACGGGAAAGTCTTCCCGGTTAACAAATGCAAAAAAATTATAAATTTTTATACGAAGGTATTTTAGTCAAAAAATATTAATGTAGAGGTATAAGTATAATTGTAAGGGTATCAGATAAGCTTTCCCAAAGTAAAACACGGAAATACTCAAAAATAAACTCAAGGACCGGACTCAAAATATAGAAAAGACAGTTAAAGGCCCAAATATATATTATTTTTATATTTTTACTTAATACATGGAAATATCCAAAGACATACCCGATGACCGGGCCCAAAATATAGAACGACGGTTAAAGGCCCATATATATTTGTAATTTAGGATTGAGAAGCAGAGAAAAACCTTTTTCTTCTTCCTTCCCTCTCCGCCTGCGACACTGTGAGAACAACTCCATTCTCTTTCCCGGTAAGCCTCCATCTCAATTTCACTCAAAAATAATTTTCATAATTGCTATTCATTTTTATTCATAAATTATAGATATTGCAAATCTACGGAGTGAGTAGTTTCTGAGAATTCGTGTTCGTCATAAACAAACACATTTAGGTTTAATTTTTTGATATGGATTCGGTCGAAAAGAGGGATGAAGAGGATTGGGAGTTTACCGATAAGAGGAAGCAGAAGTCAAGGAAGCATGTGAACGGTGATGAGGCTGAAGGTGAGGTCGACGGTGAAGGTTCTGACGGAGGCGGGAGAAGGAAGCGTTCTGCAAAGGGGGATGCGGATGATTACGATTCGCGGTTGAAGGCGGCGAAGAAGAGATTTGAGGAGAATACATTGGAGAAATTGAGTAGTTTTTATGAGGATGGTGAGTTGGATGGTGGGGAGAAGGGAAGGAATGCTCATAGAGTGAAGGAGGATTTTAGGTTATCGGAGAAGAGTGAAAGCGGAAGAGAGTTGAGAGAGAAGAGCCGTGGGTCTTCTGAACAGGTTAAGAGTTCTAGAAGGAAGTGGGATGAAGTTGATACTGTTAGTGTGAAGAAAGTACAGGATAGTGTTTCTGAGAAAAGTGATTTGAAGAGTTCTAAGGTTGCTGATGGTAAGCGGAGTGAGTCTAGGGAGAGGAGTGGATCTGGTAGAAATGAACATGGGGAGAGTAAAGTTTCTGGTAGTGATAGCAAGGTTGTTAAATCTGGGGGAAAAGATGATAGAAGAAGTGATTCTGAGAGAAGTAAGAGTAAAGTCAAGTTGGAAACGCCTGATGAAAGGGTTGAAAAGCCTAGGCATCATAGGACACCAACTGGTTTTGATGTGGCTGAAACTGGGGAGAAGTTGGTCAATGCAGATGAGGACGGCAATGCGCGGGTTAGGGATAAAACTGTTAAAGAAACTGGGAACTCAACTAGATCTAGGACGCCTGAGAAGAGTGGAAAACGCCATCACGATTCGGAGGGTTCAGAGATGGATTATGAGAAAAGTGGTAGTTTTAAAAAGAAAGAACTTGAGAGTGATAGTTATAAAGATGATAGGTCCAAAGGAAAAGATGAAGCTTGGAGTGATAGGAGGAAAGATAGGGAAAGTTCTAAAGATAATTGGAAAAGGAGGCAGCAGGGTAATACTGACAGAGATTCCAAGAATGAGGATGGTGCTTTTGATCATGGCAGAGAATGGGAGTTGCCCAGACACGGTTATGATAGGATGGACAACGAAAGGCCTCACGGACGGTTAGGTGGTAGAAAAGATGTACTCAGGGGGGAAGCTGTGAAAACAACAACGAACTTTGGAATTTCAAATGATAATTATGATGTGATAGAGATCCAGCCAAAGTTTGTTGACTATGGGAAAACAGACTCTGTATCCAATCTTAGCAAGAGAACTGAAGCTAATCAACAATACAATTCTAAATCAGGAGGTAATCACGAAGAACGGTCACGTCATCCGGAAGAAAGAGCAAGAAAGAGTGATTTATCTGGTTCTGGGACACCTGGTGAAGATCAGAAGGAGAGATATGTCGATGATGACTATGATTCTTATGGGGGAAGAGGAAGAGGTCAGAAAAGTGTTGCAACTAATCGCAGTACCGGTGGCTCGCAGTCTCAATATGGAAATCTGGATTCTGGATCATTTAACAGAGGTGGTCCACAAGGAATAAAAGGGAACAGGGTTGGTAGAGGAGGAAGGATTAGGCCTCCTGGGAGAGACAACCAGCAGGTCGGAATGCCATTGCCAATGATGGGATCACCCTATGGACCTCTTGGCATGCCTCCGCCCGGACCGATGCAGACTCTTGCCCATGGTATGTCACCCGGTCCTCCAATGTCCCCTGGAGTCTTTATGTCACCATTTAACCCAGCTGTTTGGCCTGGACCCCGAGGTGTTGACATGAATATAATGGGTGTTCCACCCGCAGTGTCTCCTGTGCCTCCAGGTCCAAGATTTAATACTGCTAATATGGGGAACCCACCGAATTCTGCAATGTATTATAACCAATCAGGCCATGGAAGGGGGATTCCCCCAAGCATTTCCAGTCCTGGTTTCAATCATACAGGACCAATGGGGAGAGGAGCACCACCTGATAAAACTCAAGGGGGATGGGCTCCACCTAAAAGTAGTGGAGCTATGGGTAAAGCTCCTTCTAGAGGTGAGCAGAATGATTATTCTCAAAACTTTGTAGACACTGGTATGCGGCCTCAGAATTTCATCAGGGAGCTTGAGTTGACAAATGTTGTAGAGGACTATCCTAAGCTTAGAGAGCTTATACAGAAAAAGGATGAGATTGTGGAAAAATCTGCATCTACTCCCATGTATTACAAGTGTAATCTGAAAGAGTTTGAACTGGCTCCAGAGTTCTTTGGGACCAAGTTTGATGTCATTCTTGTGGATCCCCCATGGGAGGAGTATGCGCATCGAGCCCCTGGTGTTGCTGAACACACAGAGTGCTGGACATTTGAAGAAATAATGAATCTCAAGATTGAGGTAAGCTATTATTATATTTTCACAACATTTTATTTTCTTAGTCTAATTATATTTTGAATTAGATTAGATATCTTACTTGTTCTATTAATTTCTTAAGGCTATAGCAGATACTCCTTCTTTCATCTTCCTTTGGGTTGGTGACGGTGTAGGCCTTGAACAAGGCCGTCAATGTCTAAAGAAGGTACGCTATCTGCTGCAATTGTTTATGGTTATGATTCGTATATCCTATTTATTGTTTCTACTGCTTCATCTCTCTATATTTTGTTTTTCTTAACTGGGGCTGGGACTGGGTTTCTACAGTGGGGATTTCGTAGGTGTGAAGATATATGTTGGGTGAAGACAAATAAAAGTACTGCAACTCCAGGGCTGCGGCATGATTCACATACTTTATTTCAACATTCAAAGGTTAGTTTAAATTTATTTTTTGTAGTTGTACACCTGCAGGTCGCAGCTTTATTTCATCACATGAGATATTTGTTTTGACGTCAAATATAGTAGTATTTCCTAAACTGTTTGATTTTGTTGCGGTGAAGGAACACTGCTTGATGGGCATAAAAGGAACAGTTCGTCGAAGTACCGATGGGCATATTATTCATGCCAACATTGACACGGATGTAATTATTGCCGAAGAGCCTCCTTATGGTAAGTTTATCAGCAGTGCCTATAAAATTGATACCTTGCATAACTAAACTATGTTAGGCAATATTCTATCATCTTTTCCTCAATAGGTACTATTCTAAAATTAGTAGAAGCTGCAAAGCAACAAAATGAATATATTGTAAGATCAAAATATATTAGATTCACGAATGAAACAGCAAATACTTGTTATATATTACACTGTTTTTATCTGGTTTATAGACCAAATCTGAGTGCAAGATCAATAGCACACTCCCTCTAAACTAAATAGAACAATTTGTAGTCTGTGATAGCTACTATAGAACACACACACACACACACACACACACACACACACACACACACACACACACTGTATTAATACCAAACAGTAACTTCCACATATACAAACATATTTGTCTCATAATTTTGTCTGCTTATGCGGCACTATTAGATTAAGCCCATCCTTTTATTATTATTATTATTATTATTATTATTATTATTATTATTATTATTATTATTATTATAAACCTTTTTGACTGTTAATTATTAACCTTTACCCCCTCCAAACCCATCATAACCGGCGTATCACTGTCAGCAGCACATAAGCATTGTTCTCAAGGTTGAAATGTTTAAGCAAGCCCTTGTTTATCATCATTTGAACCAGAGTTATCAATCTCGGGTGAAAGTGGCGCTATCCCAGTAGAGCGGTGTGGCGCAGAGGCCGGCCGCTATGAGAGCTGCGATAGTGGCGTACTTTAACCCACCTTCAGTTTAATGTCACAAAAACCCAAAAATATCCTTAAAAATTAAACACTTTTATTTTGCCATTTTCCCCTCTTTGAGCCCTAATTGCAGAACTTGTCCTCCCCTCTGTGCTTGTGCAGCTTGAACTCAACTTAGTTCTTCCTCTTTCTCATTTGTTTGCTGTTCTCTTCCTTCCAACTACATTGCCACCGTTCTCTCTTCCTCCCAATGGCATCGCCATCGCCATTCCTCCTTCTTCTCTGCGCCGTTCCAAGTTTCATCTTCCTCTTCTTTCTTCATCTTTCCCAATCCCCAGCCCAGCATCATTTCTTTTCTTTCTTTTTCCTCTGTTTTACTCATTTTGTTTTCCCCCATTTATTTTCCTTAATTTTTTTTCTCTATTTTGTCATTTCCTTTCCTTTTTTCATTCTGGTCTTCTTCTTCTTGAGACTTGTGGGATTTTGAAAGTGTTTTTTATTAAATATTCTGCATAGATTTAGAGCACTGCTAAACATTACTAACGAGTTTAACAAGATTATAATTATCTACTGTTTTTTTAAAAACTATTTAATATAATTTTGATAGAAATTATGGTCTGTATGCTGGTGTGAATCAATGGCGGATCTCAAGTCCTATGTTTAAATTTTTAGTATATTTTTAATTCAGGAAAATTATTCTTAGATTTATGAGTATTTTTGTGGGTTCTGACTTTAGTAAACTTACAGTATTATTATTTATATAATTTATCCAAAAATATCAAATAGTGGTCAACCTGCGATACGCTATCCCACTTTCGGGGTCGGCCACATTGCTCCGCTATCCAAGATTGACTACTCTGATTTGAACTTTATTCTACCAATCAAGCTCTATAAACTTTTCTTCACGTCCTCAATCATCATATCCTGAATTTTTATCACCCTCAATTTTTCTCTTGTGACACCTATGGAGAGGCCCTAGCCCCATAAATTGTTTGCCACATTGATGACATTTTTCCTCTTGTCTCTTCCTATGTCCTAACATACTGAGTGTAAGGTAGATGTTATTTTCCCCTATTCCTGAACTGTGAATTTGGTGTGTTGCTGGCAACAGAAAATGTGCTCTGGGCACCGGAATTTTTAATATTTTTTAAGAATTGAGTTGGGCCAGGTCGTGGGTCCTCTAGGTTTGTGCAAACCTCTGAATTGACTGGGTTATTCCCAGAGACAACTGAATAGATCCTATGAACTCATGCCCAAAACATGGCTTTTGAGCTTGATCAGAAACTGCCCCGCCATCACTCTGCCAGAAGCAGGGCTCTTTGATTTTTCCTCTGAAAAGAACCCCATACTTTCTCCATATTCATTCTCAACTAACCTGGCCAAATGAATGGCCCTAGGTACACAGTTTGAGAGCCATGGATTGTGACACATTCCCTTCTGATCACATCATTTAAGCCATTAATCCCGAAGCAGACACATCTGGCTGTTCATTTAATTGCGCCACTAATATTTAGAATTTTTCACCTGCGGGAAGAGAATTCTCTTCAATAATTCCGCCTTTAAGTCTTCCTGTCTCATCTCTGGGTGTCCCTTCAGATCCTAAACCAATGGACGGTCATTGCTTCCATTCAGATGAAAGTTGAAAGCTACTCTGGTTTGATATTTTGGATCTCAAATCTTCTGAAGAGCCACCCAGGAAAAACTTTGTCAAAAAACCAGCAAGAGCTAGCCACCCATCAGGATCATGTCAATCCAAGTTGGGCAATCCAACTTCTTGAAGAGCCATTTTATGGCCAGGAAAAACTGTCAACGTCAAACCAAGCTAGGCAATCCAACTTCTTGAAGAGCCATTTTATGCTTATTTAAAATCCATGTTTGATGAATGTATATTAAAATCCCTTGATCCCGTGGTTGATTAGTTCTGTCGGGATTAGAACCTTTTGCAGGGAAGCCTTGTTAACTGACTCTCTTTGCTTATAGCCAATTCCTAAAACAAGAGTAGACTCTGGCACCTAATTGTCAGGGATTTCCTCCCATTTCTCTAAGATCTCTAAACTGTATGACATCTCCCATTATTCACACTTAATCCCTGTGGGGTGAGAATTGGATGTTTGTATGGTAGCATCTATCTCCTCCACATGTCTCTCCAATTGTTCTGCTATTGAGTCTATCTTCATTGAAGTCATCCAACAGGTTGAACCAAATTGGCCGCCTCATTAATTAAACAAAAACAACACTGGTTATGCACTGATTTAATCTGCTTTACAGACTAAATCTGAGTACAACATCAGCAGACATGTTTTCCCCATAACAAGGAGTCTTCTCCTTCTACTGCATTTATAAAACAACAATCTACAATTTCTGATAGTTTCTATGAAAACACCTGTTAATAACAAACATTGACTGCCACATAAAAACATAACTGCCTAATACACAAACTGCAACTGCCTATCAGGCACTATTTTATCAACATTTTTGAAAAAACTTAAACCATCAATGGTTTTGAGCCATCTCTCTACAAACCCATCATAATTCAACCTATAAGAAGAAGCTCAGAGCAAGAACTAATGATAAATCTGATGATCTCATATTTCAACAACTTGAGTTGAGATTAGTAAGGCGCAAGCATACAATTCATACAGAATAAATAGGGAGGCCCAACATGTTATCATTGGGTTGAAATGAGGACTTATAGTTCCCGCCGCTCTATTCATGCTCGACTAAACATTAGAGGACATTGTAGCTGGTAGCCTATTATACTTGTTGGCTGATATCCTGGTTCAATGGATAAGTTTTTTTCTTTGGCCTATGGAACTCTTAGGAAATCAGCTAAATAGCTCACTTCAAGCAACTCTGATTTTCATGTTCTTTCCTAGGCAATTTTTCATAAATCTTGTTTTCCTTGATCCTTAAAGACAGACCAGAGCCACCTTGTTTTGGCAAGGGTGCAAGCACCTTACTTAGCTTAATAAGTTTAAAAATTATATACTTCAGTTAGATGTTTATCATAAAATGCTTGTTTTTTTAATACATGCCTCAATGATTGCAATGTTTGTATGGAGGAATAAAATGAAAACCTCTGTTTAATTTCTTGCTCAATGCTCATATACTGCAGGTTCAACACAAAAGCCTGAAGATATGTATAGGATTGTTGAGCACTTTGCCCTTGGAAGGAGAAGGCTTGAACTATTTGGTGAAGACCATAATATCCGGTCCGGCTGGCTGACTCTTGGTAAAGAACTGTCATCTTCAAATTTTAGTAAGGAGGTAAGAAATTTGAATGCTTATATACCAACATGACATCTGAGTTGGGGTATTCCTATCTACCTGTATTAATTAATTTTTGTTTCTTTAGAAGTTGGGTAAAATTTGCAAGCATTAATTAATATTTTAGATGCCGTAATTAAAGATAAAATCGATTCATACTTTAAACATACTTCTAGCCTCTGGCAAAAGTTTCTTGGTCTGGTATATAAGTTTTTGAAACCCGTCTTACTCGTTTATTTATGCACAAATAATTTGCTTTATCTTCATTTCCCCAACATCTAGATTTTCTTCTATCTTGTTTTGATAGGCACTTCAGAGTTAGTGCTCATTAGTATATCTTTGTTACTTGATGCTGATCATCTGTATTGTGTGGCTTGATTAATCACATTGATTGGTTTTGGATAATTTAGGCATATGTCAAGAACTTTGGTGACAAAGATGGGAAGGTTTGGCAGGGTGGTGGAGGAAGAAATCCACCTCCGGAGGCACCTCATCTGGTGGTGACTACTCCTGATATAGAGGCTCTTAGGCCAAAGTCCCCAATGAAGAACCAGCAACAAATGCAGCAGCAGCAGCAATCAGTGTCCATTTCTTTGACGCCGGGTAACACATCAAACAGAAGGCCTGGGAATTCACCGCAGAATCCAACTGCACTTGGTGTCAATCAAGATGCCTCTAGTTCAAACCCATCTACACCAGCTCCTTGGGCTTCTTCACCTATGGAGGGCTTTAAGGGACGTGAAGGCTCTGTAATGCCTTCAGATGATAAATTATTTGATATGTATGGGGGGTTTAATGGACCACCACCACCGGGCTATCTAGATTTTGAATCATTCAGACAAATGAATATGTTGTAGCATAACATTAAGGATAAGGTTGCGTTATTATGTTCTGTATAATTTTTTTCCCCTGCTAATATAAATGGGAAGAAAATTATTTGCAAAAATGTCTGTTCATTCTTTTGGTAGCGCCCGCCATTAGGTTCCGTTAGGGGAATAAAAGAAAGCGTTGGATTACTGTAAAATTGGTTACATTTTATGTATTATTTTGTCAAATGTTCTAAAGCAATATAAGTTTAAGTCACATGCTTCCACGCGAGTCCATGATGGAAGGCTAATGTTTAAGCTAATATGTACACCACACAGATAAATTAATTAAATAAAATAAACATTCTTTAGGTCAAACAACTGTATTATTCTGGACACGAAAATTGAAACTATGCCCCAACCAGGTGTCAACGTTTTTGACACAAAAATGTGTTATGTTAGGATAGAGAGAAAATAGATAAATTAAAAATAAGAAAGAGAAAGTGTAAAATAAACTTATACTGTTATGCTAAATTATATTTTTATTTTTTAAAATAATAATATAATGGGCCGTTTGTTTTACTTTTTTCAAAATATGATTTTTGTAGTGTTATTTTTTTGTGTAAAAATATTTACAAATAAATTTTTCATAAAAGATTCAAATGAAACATTGGTTTGAATAATTATTATTAAAATAAAAATTTAGACATTTTATCATTTTATTGATTTTTTAAAAATATCAAAAAATCACTTAATTTTAAAGCTATTTTAAATAGTTTTTTTTTTATAAAAATCACTTTTAAAATATATTTTTTTTCAAAAAATTTGATTTCAATTATATTTTGATCTTAAATAATGTATATTTATGTTACAGAATGTCAAAATTAATATTTTAATTTAGAAAAAACAATTTAAAAAACTGTAATATTTTAAAAAATATATTTATGAATTAAAGCTAAAACTAACAGGCTTAATATGACAAGTATACAATTTTGATTAATTGTATGTAATATTGTTTGAGAAATGCTTTTTTCATCTTTGGTGGTGCTTCCATATCCTTGAAAATTAAAAAATACCCTCAAACATTTGGAGATGTATCTCCAGATGCATCCAAAATCACGTCTATCTTCTCTTTTCTAAGTGTTACCACAATTTTTGAAAAAAATATAGTTCGAAGATGCATCTTCGTATCATATTTGGGTGTATCCAAAGATGCATCTTCGAAATACCCCCTAAACTCATTTATGAGTTTGTTATTCACACAAATGACATAAATAACAACTTAGTGATATTTCCGGAGATACATCTTCGGAAATACTCAGCGTAAAAGTTGATGAAACACCACCTTGCATGAGCTTCTTCATCATGCTAAAAGAAGAAACCATAGCAAAACCCTTGAAATTTTTTATCTCATTATTAATCAACTTTTTAACACCAAAACATTATTCTTGTATTTCATAACGTTAAGGGAACAAAGCAAGTTGAAATTGCACGTAAATATCATTCATTCCATTCCCCATTCCTTGCATTAATATTAGTTTTTTGATGAAAAAAAGAACGTTGAGTCCAGAGACGCATTTCCACACGAAGTTAGGTGAGTTTCGGATGTGCATCTCCAGTTTGTCCTGGTAGTTTAAAATGTAACATTTCTTTTCTGTTACTAGTTGTAATAGATATGGTGCAACCAGATATGTGTCCCAAAGCAATTGTGAGTGTGGATGTTAAAACGGTCGAAGTGAAGGATGATGTTAAACCAGATGAGGCGTATAATGATGTTCAAACGGATGAAGCGAATGATGATGTTAAACCAGGTGCTCGACCGGCCGGTGTAGAGGTAGATGTTTGTGCATAATTTACTAATAAAGAAATGTTTGTTCGTGAACATATGTTATATCGGTTCGTAAGGAGACTTGAAAATTGGGGTTTAGCGTTCTAATATGAAGGACCGGCAATGGTTCGGATAGAAGATAGACATTTGTAATAATGGTATGCGAAAGAAGCGGCATGTACCAACCAAAGATTAGGAAGTTAAGATGAAATGACATTGGATAGAGAAAATGTGAGTGTTCGTTTAAACTGCGCGGGTACTGTATGGAGGATGAGACATGGAAATTTAATGTGATTTCTGGTATAGATAATCATGCCTTGACTGACAAGCTAGTTGGTCATCCCATTGTATGTCGCCTTGTGCCGGAGGAGAGGAAACTTGTTTCGCACATGACATTAAACATGATGGCTCCGAAAAACATACTCGTGACTTTGAAACGTAAAAAACCTCTAAATGATTAAAATATCAAGCAAATATACATTGTGCGTGTTCGAGACAACAAGACGGTTAGAGGACCAAGATTTGAGATGAAACAACTGTTAAAGATTTTGAAAGATGAAGGTTAGTATTGAGGTACAAAGTATGTGAGGATAAAGTCACTGCTCGAGATATATTTTGGAGTCATTCGGATTCTGTGAAGTTGTTCAACACCTTTTCCTCTGTGCTCATGATGAACTCAACATACTAAACAAACAAGTATAGGCTTCCATTTTTGGAAGTTATTCATGTTACTTTTACGGATATGACTTATTCAGTCAGTTTTGCATTTTTGAAATCCAAAAAAGAGGACAATGTTACATGGGCTTCAAAAATGTGCAAGACAAGGTTGTCAAACTCGCGAGTCTACTCAGACTCGTAAAGGGTCTGCAGACTCAACTCGCAGACTCGACTCGCAAACTCGTACGAGTCTATGGAAAATTAAAACTAACTTTCAAAAACCTATATGTGACACATACATGACACACATATGTATTTTTAAACTTATAAATGCGTCATCTTTACACTTATAATAGAATACCAATTAACATCAAAATTTAAATTTCATACTCCAAATTTCTTTAAAAAATTCAATAATAAAACAAACAAAATAGCAAAGTATGTATTTAAAAACTTAAAGTACTAATTTCTTCTCAATTGACTACTATATAAAGAAAAAATAAAATCATAAAATATATATGATAATGACTTTAAACATCCAAAACTCCAGTGAAATCATCACCATCATCTTCATCGGTATCTTGAGTATCATCAACAAATTCTACCTCGGATGAAACACTTTCTTTATCATTAACCAAAATTGGATTTCTTGAAGTTCCACTTCCACCTAATTCAATATTTCCACCACCACCACTACTTCGCACAACATTATTAACAAAAACAACAACTTCCACAACATTGTTAATTATAATATCATGTTACTCAACATTAACTTCAGCTTGCATATTTTCCTCATTAGGATCTTCAATTATCCATTCATCATCTTTACACAAGAGAATATACAAGAGAAACATTCAAGTGAAGCATATTATAAAATAATTACACAACAAATGATTAACTCACAAAAACAAACGTGAATAAAGCAAGAGACCTAACAAACACACACGTCTATGAAAGGATGAAGGGAGGAAGAAACCTTGTCGAAACAAGAGACTAGGAGAAAGAATTTATAATTCTCGTACAAACAAAAAAATAAGGGGTTTTTAAAAATATAATAAAATCTTTTGGAGAATTTACGCCTTTTTTGGGTTTAAAAAAAACAAAATACAAAAAAAAGTTATAAACTCGTAAACTCATCATAGACTCGCGAGTCTATACGAGTTTATGCGAGTCTACCTGAGTCTACTCGAGTCTATCAAAAAATGATTCTATGCGCGAGTCTACTCGTTTTTGCTTCCTAGACTCGTAAACTCGTACGAGTTTACGAGTCTACCCGCGAGTTTGACAACCCTGTGCAAGAGTGTGTTGAATGATCAAAAAAACATATGACAAGTCATAATCATCGAATGCGAGACCACACAGATGAATTCGATTGCAACAATTTTTCCTACATCATATGAATTACTTTGTAAGTGTCACATAACAAAAAATGTGATAACTCGATTAAAATCCGTGATTGACATGAAACAAGTCAAAGGTGAAAATGGTAAAAATTTCAAACCTGGATAGGTGGTGGAAAAGATAATAGATGCATGGATTCCACGAAAGAATTATATGTCAAATGTGTTATGTTAGACGAATGCGACTTATCTAGATTTGTGTGTGTGTGTGTGTGTGTGGGGGGGGGGGGGGGGGGGGGGGGGGAGGTGAATAGATTCCAAGTTTAAAAAGAACTTTACAAAAAAGTGTTTTGAAAAATTTAACGGCTAACGGAAGTGACCCGAATCGAATCGCCTAAACTAAACCGCTATCGAAAAACTAGGATATCCATACATGAAAACCAATTAATGATAATAATAGACAAATCAATCAATATACTTTTAACAACAATCACTTGAATGCTACACAAAAAGTAAAGTTTATTTTCAATGACAAAATACACAAAAACGCAATTAAGGCAAATTAACAAACACCTTGTGTGGAATTAATTTCATTTAGAATTTTGTATGGTTTTGTTGATTTGCAAATCTAACCACAATCTAATAGATTTTGATCAACTCAACAAAACCTTTTTCAAATGGTTATCAAAAAGTTTAACCAAACATATTGATCACACAATTGACGAATTCAGCAATTTGCAAATTAAAAGCAAAAGAGATAGATAGATAGATAGATAGATAGATAGATAGATAGATAGATAGAGGGAGGGATATATATATATATATATATATATATATATATATATATATATATATATATATATATATATATATATATATATATATATATATATATATATATATAGAGAGAGAGAGAGAGAGAGAGAGAGAGAGTACACAAGGATTTATTTAGGAAGTTCTCCAATCGACCTCTCTATGAGTACGTCGACCCTCAACTCGAAATCAAATTAAGATAATCAATCTTACTTTGAAAGTGTAGTTTTACAAGAGAAATGTAGCAATACAACCTCATAAATCCTATGTTTGATGTTGATTATAAAACTTTATCTTACCTTGATCTGAGCTTGATCAAGTCACCCAACAATACAAATTTGATCCATCGTCTCAAACTACTCATTTGCAAGAAATCTCGTTCTTCAAAGTTTTCACTTGATTAAATCTAAATT